GCCTGCTCTCCGTCGCTCCGCTCGCTTGTTGTGGAGGGAAGCAGTTAGCTCCGTTAGCTCCGTTAGCTCCGTTAGCTCTGTGTGTGTGTGTGTGTTTGAGGGAAGCGGCTAGCTGCGTTAGCCCCGTTAGCTCCGTTAGCTCCGTGTGTGTTTGAGCGATACTTTACTGTAGTTATTCCTTTCCAACATGGCGTACCAGCTGTACCGGAACACCACGCTGGGGAACAGCCTACAGGAGAGTCTGGACGAGCTCATACAGGTGAGCATGACCTCACACTCACCTGGCGGCTCCGTTAGCATGTGGCTAACTGCAGCGGCGGCGCCTGGAGTTAGCCACATGCTAACTGTAGCTCGTTAGCCGTTAACAGTGATTAGTTCTTTATGTTTGTTATTATCTACTGTAGCTAATGAGCTACCATAAATATAATAAATATTTATAAATATAATAAAACCCAGAAGAGAAACTGTCATCAACGTTTATTGAAGTTAGCTCAACGTGATGTTAGTTAGCTTCAGTGGTTAGCTCTACGTTAGCATCCTGATCATTTATCTCTGATCACATTGATTCTGTGTTTGTTCTGGAGCTCATCGATAACCTCATTAACACATTAACACATCATATTTAACCACTCAAACATTTACACAATGATCAGTAATCAATAGTTAAAGGATCAATAATCGGACACACAAACATTTACACAATGATCAGTAATCAATAGTTAAAGGATCAATAATCAGACACTCAAACATTTACACAATGATCAGTAATCAATAGTTAAAGGATCAATCAATCAAATACAGTCAGACAACCTGATCAGTAATCAATAATTAAAGGATCAATCAGACAACCTGATCAGCCTTTATCAGTAATCAATAATTAAAGGATCAATAATCAGACACTCAAACATTTACACAATGATCAGTAATCAATAGTTAAAGGATCAATAATCAGACAACAAACATTTACACAATGATCAGTAATCAATAGTTAAAGCATCAATCAATCAAATACAGTCAGACAACCTGATCAGCCTTATCAGTAATCAATAATTAAAGGATCAATCAGACAACCTGATCAGCCTTTATCAGTAATCAATAATTAAAGGATCAATCAGACAACCTGATCAGCCTTTATCAGTAATCAATAATTAAAGGATCAATCAGACAACCTGATCAGCCTTTATCAGTTAGCGAGTGTTTCTGTGGACAAACGTTATTGATCCGGAACCAAACTCCGGCTCGGCTTTCTGCCCCGCGGATTCAAACCGCAGGAAGTACTGAAATTAAACCTTTAAATGTTTTATTGTGACAAACAACCATTAAATATATATAACTGCAACCGGTAATCAATACAGAAATCACAAGCTTTAATTAATAACTGGGATTTGTTTTATATTTATTTATTTATAAGACAAAAATCTAATTCTGAAAACAGGTTTACATTAACTTTACAATTAAAGTAAAGCTGTCGGGTCATTTTAATGGATTAAACTTCTAAAAATATTTGAGAATTGCTTGATTTTCTTTTTATTAATTACTCGTCTATTTTAACTTTTTAGAGCATCCAAACAATGAGAAACATTTATTTAATGTAATAAATTAGTTTTTCAGACACTACCTGTATATCTGTTCATACGGGTCAGAGGTCACATACAGTCAGTTTCATTGTTAGTGTAGTTACTGCCGTTAGCCTCTGGGGGGCAGACAGGTTTTATTAAATACACACTGTTGGTAGAAAGAAAGGAGAAGATGAATTGTCTGTAAATAAAAAGTAAATTCTACCTAATTTGTTACTTCTGGGTTGCAGCTAAAGTCATAAACACTGACCTCCGACCTGTAATGAGGCTGCATCACTAAACGAGGAATAAAACGATTGTGTGTGTGTGTGTGTGTGTGTGTGTGTGTGTGTGTGTGTGTGTGTGTGTGTGTGGCAGACTCAGCAGATCACTCCTCAGCTGGCTCTTCAGGTCCTCCTTCAGTTCGATAAAGCGATCAACACGGCGCTCGCCAACCGAGTCCGCAACAGGGTCAACTTCAGGGTGAGTCCAGCTCTTGTGACCTCTGACCTCCGCCCCGGTACATCACTGGCACAGTTTCACAGCCACCGTAGTTTCTCCCACACACCTGGAAGGCTGAGCTGTATTCAGTTAGGCCTGTCACGATAACACATTTTGCTGGACGATCAATTGTCCCAGAAATGATTGCGATAAACGATAATATTGTCGTTCCGAGACCATTTTCATCTAATATAATGATAATGGTATAATAACGCAGGTACACATTTTCAAAGATCAATAAACTTTTATTTGTAAACAATATGTAATACTGGAACTGGAAGACATTTTAAATATCCACAAGATATAAACAACACAACCAAAAACAATAAATAAAATGGATGTAGACAAAATTGCAATAACTATTAAACATTAGGCTCAGACATAAAGAGTGATACATTCCTTAACAGGCAAACCCCCAGTTAGGACCTTTGTAAACATTTAGCAAAACAGATGAAGCAGTACCTATTATCAATATTGACAACTTCGGGCTTCATATGAAATATGGACATACTAGTTCCCGCTCCTCAGACGAGCTGAACATAAATCTAACACACCAAGAAGGCGGGACTTAGCAAAAGCCAATCATCAGCCGGTCACACTCAAAGCCGGTGTCATGTTTGAGGCAACAAGAGGAGAGGGAGGGGGAGAGGAGGCAGTGAATGAATGGATGAATGGATGGATGGATGGGAGACACAGTGAGTGTGTGTAGTTCTGTGGGTCAGTCACTGTCCGTCTGTCCGTCCTCAGGGTTCTCTGAACACCTACAGGTTCTGTGACAACGTGTGGACGTTTGTCCTGAACGACGTGGAGTTCAGGGAGGTGACGGAACTCGTGAAGGTCGACAAGGTCAAAATAGTCGCCTGTGACGGAAAGAGCGAGTCGACCCAGAACAAAACCGACAAATGGTCAGTGTGAAGTTATTATTATTATTATTATTATTAGTAGTAGTGGTTTTATTATTGTTAGTTTTTGAACCTTAAAGAAAAGAGTAATGTTATTTATTATTATTATTTATTTATTTATTGTTTCTCTCTGCAGAGTGACGACTCTTCTTTGTGTGTTCTGGTGTCAGACGGAGTTGGACCTGGACTGTACATATAATTTATTACAGCAGAGTCACAGCTGAGTGTGTGTGTGTGTGTGTGTGTGTGTGTGTGTGTGTGTGTGTGTGTGTGTGTGTGTGTGTGTGTGTGTGTGTGTGTGTGAGAGAGAGAGAGAGAGAGAGTGTGTGTGTGTGAGGACCGGTCACTGTACCTGCAGCAGTTTTTTTTATTATTCTCTCAGTTTACAGGAGGTTTGTGTTCAGTTTGCTGTTATCGAGCTGGATCATCTTTAATAAAAACTTTATTTAAAACACAGAGAGCTTCCTGAAACCATCTGTGGATTTATTGATTGATTGATTGATGAAAGGAAAAGGAATGGATCTGTGTTTGTACTGGTGTTTTCGGGTTGTCTTTTTCTGAACATAACATTCCTGAACATATCTGAACATTTCACAAACGTCTGCTTGGACTGAACTGATCAAAACTGGTTGGACAATGAATTGAACACATCCTGGACAACCTCGATATTTAGAGACTAGTTTTCCAATCATGGTAACACCTGAAAGTTTGAAATAATCTCTGTTGACTTATAAAATTGTAATTGTATTTTAGCCGCTCACCCGTGTGAACCGTGGTTAGAACAGCAAACACAGAGCGTCTCATAAACACTGACCTCCGACCTGTAATGTAAAACGACCTAATAAAAACTAATATGGAAGCCGATTTCTGCCAATGTGACAGGTAGAAATTACAAGTAAATATTTAATATCTATCTAATATTGACTGAAGGTGAATCAAACAAGACAAAAAGTCAGAATCAACATTTTTATTAAAACAACATGAGGACTTCACATCATGTATAAAAGACTGCATCTTAAAAACGATACGATTACAATGATCAACATTTACTCCTTCAGGACAGACAGAATATAAACCTCTGTTTACTGCAGAGAAAATGTTTAAAAGGCTTCAGGAAGTTTATTGTTGGATATAAGTATGTCTGGTGTTTATAATTCTGAATAGATAGACCAGGAAAACATATAAAATATCTATAATTCAGTGTGTTTACGATCAATACTGCATGTGGTCTCTACGCGGACGAGTGGAAATGGCTTCTGTTTCCAAACGTAAAAACAACCAAACAGAAGAAAAAGAAAGGGCTGATGGGAAATGAGTGAGTGACGCTGATATTTACAGTGAAGAGCACCGACATTCCAAAGAACGAGAGCCCTCAAACGCCTCGTATCTTAACGTTGCACCTGAACGCATCACAAAATCGACAGCAGTGATTCAGATTCTCTGATTCACAAGAAAACAGCAAATATTGGAGGAAAGTCTGAAAAAAACAGAAACCAAACGACGGCTGTTTGTTGTGTCTGAGCTGCTCCTGAGTCTCTATGGACAAACCGCAGATTAAATCAGGGGCCTGGAGACCTTGATGACCTTGTTTCTGACGTCCCAGCGGTAAATCTGAAGCCTCTACATCCAGATGTAACACAGATTTTAACCGAATTTAGCAGAAAATGGTGAAATAAAACGTGACTGGTATTTGATGCTGCCGGTGAACGCCTGGTTTAAAGTCGGTCGTAACTTGGCGTTCTGATAGTTACACCGGTTGCACCATCGAGACTTGAGCCTTCTTCTCGCTAACACTTTAAATCCCCGGACATGGCTTTATCGGAGTCTGCACGGGGTATTTTATTTAGGAAGCTGACTGGATTCTTCATGTCGTTTATGTACGTCACTCTCTGTAAATGCTGCTCGGCGTGGTACAGCTGCGTATTGGCAAGAATCTGTAGATACGTATATATCTCATATACGATCTATAATACGGTTCAATATACTGCGAATAGGTTTATCACCATAGACACCAGTTTACAACACTGCTCTGTAGTGGTTGACGGGTTTAAACACAAACATCGATGCAGTTCTTTTGAGAATCGATACAATATCACAAAAGAAAATATCGCAATATGATAGTGATATTTTCTTACACCTCAGACAGGAAACAGTTGGATGGAAACACGTGAGTCAACTACCATAGGCGGCTAGTGTTAGCATTAGCTCTGAGCTCAGTAACAAAACACTATTATTGCCTTCCTGTCATCAGGAGACCAGAGGGAATCAGTTTCATTTACATATTGTTGTTTTTATCTTAAAGCTGCCTCATATTGTCTGAGAGACTTTCACCTAATTTCTTATTATTTATGTTTTATATCCAGACAGGAAGTCTTAAAGGTCCAGTGTGTAACATTGAGGAGGATCTATCGATATAATATCTATAGGTATGTTTTTCATTAGTGTTTAATCATCATCTTTAACGGCCACTTGATGCCACTGAACCTACACACTGGTCCTTTAAGTCACTCTGTTCTGCGTTGGACTCTGAAACGGTAATACAGTATTTTTGTCCCGTAAACTCAGCGGACCATCGAACCTTCGTCCGAAAAGCTCAGTCACAACCAGTCCCGGCCGGAGCTGAGCATCGGGGCTCCAACTAACCATTATTTTAATTACCGATGTCTGTATCAGTTTCTCGATTAATCGATTAGTTGTTTGGTCCATAAAATGTTGGCCGCTGTTTCCTAAAGCTCGAGGCGGCGTCCTCAAATATCCAAAGAAACCAGAAAGTGAAATGACCTGAAATCAGAGAAATTTCTTGACAATTGACTCAAAACAACTAATCGACTATTAAAATAGTTGTAATCGATAAATCAAATAATTGTTGCAGCTCTAGCGGGCGTTTCCATGGTGACCCGGCTGATAACCTGTAGTCTGGTTTTGTTAAGAACACCTGAGGAGAGTCGGCCAGACACTTTGAGGTCAAAGGTCACATCATAGCTGCCCCAGTGTGTTCATTAAGAAGCACCGACAGGACGAGACGTCTACAAAACATCTTCAAAAAACACATTCAACGTAAAAAAAAAGACGCTTCTAGCAAATGTAGAAAAGAGTATAAAACCCAAAAAATAAATCTGGTTTCAGAAAGTATAAAACATCCACCAGGTGAGGCTCCAGTCCTTCTGTCTCCTCATCCTCCTCTCGTTCTTCCTCCGTTCAGTCGAGGAAGCGTTGGCAGGCTTTCTTCCAGCGGCAGGCCGTACACCACTGGTCTCTGTGCTCGATGCCGTAAACCTTCCGGCATTTCTTGGCTTCACCGCGAATCCTCCTGACAGACAGAAACACAGATGACTGTTTGTAACGGCCGATAGCTAAACTGCATCTGTACTGTCACATCCTCCTTTCCTGTACTCAGATATGCTATATGCTAAGCTAATTAATGTTGAAAAGAAAGATATTCACATCTTAAGTTAGCTAATGTTAGCAAAATGATAGCTAAGATAAAGATTGATGTAGAAGTAGTCAGAAGTAAGCTAGTGTTAATCTTTCAACATGCGTCGACCTCTGTGACACAACCTGCAGTTCCTCTAAAGGCCACTAGAGGCTGGCTCCAGCAGTGAGTCAGTCTCCATAAGGCCTCATATTAAACTGTCTTTACAGCAGAAATAAACATGTTTACATCCTGTTTCCCTGTTCATGACAACTGTACAACTCAACCTTTCAATGATATTAAGGATTAAAGTTTTGAATAATTAAGGGCGTGTTAATAATAATAATCTCCAATACAGAGGCACAGTATAACTGAGGATGTGATGTTAAAGGGTTAAAAAGGCATTTTAACCACACAGAGAGAATGAGTGTGTGCAGTGTAAATACTGACCTGCAGGGGGCGCTCTGATGCTGCAGCCACTGCTCTCCTACACTGACCGAACGCACCCGAAACGGCAGCCCCTGTGGAGGAGAGAGAGGAGTCTTTTATTGTTTCCTCACATCAGGAGCTTCATCCTCTGTAACAACACTCTGCAGTCGCCTCCCTCGGCCTGCGGGCGGCAGCACCGTGCTGTGGCAGATTGATGGAAAATGTGACCACAAACCATCCAGAGGGGATTTTCCTGCTGAATGAAAACCACCAGGGAGGAGCGCACACACACACACACACACACACACACACACACACACACACACACACACACACACACACACACACGGTCCTCCCCCCTCCAGTATAAAACCAGTTCTAACAGGCTCCTCCGAGCTGCTGGAGGAAATAAACAACAGGCTGCTGTCGGGCTCCAGACTGAGAGAAAACAGAACTGAATTAGAGAAGTGTGTGTTGGTGCACGGTGGGGGTGACGGTGGCTTTACGGGGATCCACAGTAGTTGGTAGAAAATCTCAAATATAACCTGACATTCTCGGGGAAAGTCCAAAACACTCTGTTTTCTGTACAGAAACAACAGTAAAGTTTTCAGTAAATTTCAGTCCACAGATTACGTGTGAAACTGTTCAGGCTGCACACAAAGAGCACAAAACAACATTTTCACAGTGCAAACAGAAACCGTACAGTTCTCCACCAGCCGCACGTACAATACACACACACAGCTGGTACGTCAACGCCGACCCATATTGGACCGGGCCACACAAATACAGTGAACCAGGGAGAACTATAACATTTTGTTTTTATGATAAACGTGGAGTAGATGAATTCAGGGTTACATAAGAGCTGAAAATAATTCATTGTCATAATATTTATGATAATTATAATGTGATAAAGTTTACTGGAGGTGACGACAGTTTCAATACAAAGTAGAAAAGTAGAGATGTGAGATTTTCCTGCAGACAAACACGTTTCAAGAGAATTTCTCGCTTATTTTCAGAGACAAATTTCAGTGAATTATTTTCGTTTCGAGAAAGTTTCCAAATGTATGGAAGCCCATTACTGCCGATGTGACGGGGGGAAAAAAAGGATTCTGTAAGTTGTTATAATGAGAAACTTTCTTAAAATAAAAATGTTCACAAAGTTATAATCTTGAGAAACTAAGTCAAAATATTGATAAAGTTTCTCTTTTTTCATTTTTCATCACATTGGCTTCCATATAATATAATACAAATTAGGGGGGGTTTTTGTGACCCCAAAGAATAAATTATAAAAATATTGATTTTTAAATATATTACCTGTCGGAGGCAGCTGGTGGGCGGGGCCATCCAACGGCAGGTGGGCGTGTTCAAAGCTGCTGCTGCTGCTGATGTCACATGACTGAGGGGCACAGCCTAAAAATACAAAATATTAAACTATTTTTATTCCTTTTACATTTATTAAAAAGTCTTGATGACAATAACAACACAAGACAACACATTATTTCTATTTCTCAGTTTATATATGAAGTTTTATTTTAACCTTAGTTCAGTGTTTGAAATCTAAAAAAGCCTTAAGTAGTAAAAAAAAAAAAAAATATTATTTATAATGTAGAATTTATTTATTCATTAATATAATTTTTTAATCCAAAATCAAATAAATTATATATTTGTGTCTCTTGTGGTTTACAAATTTTTTTATTTTTTTTTTTTTTTTTTTTTTTTTTTTTTTTTTTTTTTTTTTTTTTTTTTTTTTTTTTCTCGCCTCAAATAAATTAATGTATTAGTGTTCTTGTGATTTAAAAAATTTAATTAATTAATCAATCACTGTTGATAAGCCACGCCCCCTTACCTGATAGGAGTGCTCTGATTGGACCTGCAAGAAGCTGCCAGAGGAGGAGGGGGCGGAGCGACTCAGGGCGTCGCTGCAGGCCGGAGACGGGGGAGACGGAGGGGAGGGAGGAGGAGGGCTGGGAGGTGAGGGGGGGGAGGATGAGGAGGCGGGGGAGGCGGGGCCACAGAGGAGAGGAAGAGGAGGAGACTGGTGCTGCTGTTGGTTGATCTCAGTGTAGTAAAAATCCTCCTCACTGCGAGAACAGCGCTCGTGTTCGCCGCCGCGGCTGTGAGGGGTCAGAGGTCAGAGGTGATTAACTGATGAAATATTATGTATGTATGTGAAATGATTAAATATGGTGATACGGAGGCGCTTTTCTGCCAGGAAAGATATAATAATTTTATTTAATATAATTTCTAACTTTGGCAGGAAAAAGCTTCCATACTTAATAAATCCAGGTTTGATTTTTACAAATAACCTCATTTAATCATCTTTTTATTTTCCTGTCAGTATCGAGCTCCCGTATTAAACAGTCGCTCTCTGTCCGTCAGGTGAGTCTCACCACAGGTGTGTAGTCCGGATATGACGTTTGATTCCCACCACTGATGTGAGCACCTTCCCGCAGGTCGGCCACAGACACCTGTACGCCGCCTTCACCGAGTTCTACGGGAGGAAAAACGTGCCGTCAGCGCCCTGCGGTGGCGGTGGCGGTCTTTTTATGAGTGAAATATGGACAGTGACGCCTGCTCACCCTGCGTTTGCGTGGCGCCGGCTCGTCAAACAGCACGTGCTCCAGCTCCATGTCCAGGCCTTCATCAGGGGGCGTGGCCGGGCCGACAGCAGGCTCTGCGATTGGTGGAGAGGGGGCGGGGCTTCCGTTGCCATGGCCGACGCTCCAGTAGCCGCTGCTGCCGCCGTCTGAGAGCTCGCCGCCTCCACAGTCCATGGGAGGAGCTGAAACACACGAAAACAGTACGATTAGTTCCCGAAGAGCGTCCTCGTTTCTGCACACGGATCCAATCAACCTTTATTTAAACCGCCGATCAATGACACCGGAAAATGTTCCAATTAGGATCCTTTAAATTTAAGTTCTTTTATACCACAGTGACTGAAAGACGTCCTGAGTTTTTACACGCTGAAAATATCAAAATGATTGTTTGTTGTTATTATTTGTTTTTGTTTGTTATTACTTCTTTCTTGTTGTAGTTGTTTATAGTTTTTTGTTATTGTTTGTTAGTTCTTGTTGTTGTTTGTTGTACCTGCTGTTTTAGTTTGTTGCTAATTATTATTTTCTGTTGTTGTTTGTTGTTGTTGTTGGTTACAGTTGTTGTTGTTTGTTGTACCTGCTGTGTCTGGGTGGGCGGGGCTGTGCAGCAGGGGGCTGCAGGACAAGGTGCTGAGGACCATCGCTGCCATCAGCTCGTCCATGTCCACTTCCTGTGGACTCCTCTGACTGTGGGAGGAGAGTTTGTTTATTATTTACTGTTTATTGTTTAGTTGATGTTTACTGAGACACACTGAGGACGTCTCACCTTCTGGGGACGTCAATGCAGGAGGACACAGATCTGCTGCAGGAGGAGGAGGAGGAGGAGGGAGGAGATGAAGACCACATAGAGAGGTCGCTGTGCGTGAGGTCGGGCGGATCCACCACACCTGAAGGTTCACCTCCGCACTGAAAGTACACCTGAGAGGAAACACACGGCTGGCTGTGATTGGCCGAGACAAACATCTGAAACCAAACAAACAGTGGACGGACTCTCGGTCTCACCTTCAGCCCGGGATGACCTCTGGCTCTGCTGACAGTCTGCTGTCCCGCTGCCGTTGCCATGGTGACACCGGTCTCACCCGTCTGCTGGCCTGGCTGCGTCCCTGCTGCGGAGCTCACCAACGCCCCGAGAGGAGAACGCTTCCCCAGACGTGTCTTTGGTAACATGTCTGTCTGTCTGTCTGTCTGTCTGTCTGGAGAGTCTGAAACAGAAACAGAGGAACTTCAGTCTGTTGTATCGACGGTGAATAAAATCGAAGAAGCAAAACACACACACAACAGTGAACAGAGCGTCCAGGTCTTTATTAAACCTGCCTTCTTATTAATGGCCAGCAGGGGGAGCTCCACTGGTTGCAATATAAACTGATACCATACAGTCTTATGGATTGATGAGCTCAGTAAACAGTTTCCTGATGAGTTTCTGGTCTCAGTCTCTAGTTTCAGTCTTCTTCCATACAGCATGATGTTCATTTAGTAACCGATGGTCCCATTTAGAGTAAAACAGACCATAAAGCAGGGTATGCTTTAGGGCGGGGCTACCTTGTGATTGACAGCTCATTCTCAGTGAGTCTGTCCAGCTCAACCAAACTCAGATCAAACTGTCAAACAGTGCTGATCAGATATGGATCCAGATTCTGTTGTTGACTATTTCTCTCCTCAAATCTGTTCACAAACACATTTTACTGTTTATGTGGAATACCAGATCCTGTGTGAGCAGGTGAGCAGCCAATGACAGCAGAGCAACTCGCTTTACGTGACCTCCGCTGGCAGTGAAAAAAAAACAACATGACGTCACGTACACGATCTTATCAAACGTACAGACACTCGAATCGTCGATAAGATTATTCATAGGTTGCTTTGTTGTGTGTTTGTGTGTTTATGTGTTTGTGTGTTTGTGTGTGTGTGTTTTGTTACGGCTCAACTGACACATTCACAGAAATGAACTTTAAACTGTAGAAATAAATAAATAAATTAAACTGTTGACAGTCTGAGTGAAATCATAGTGACTCAGAGACTGCAACCATTTACAGTCAGTGTGTGTGTGTGTGTGTGTGTGTGTGGATTAAAATGAACAGATGGCTTCAACTGTTAATAAATGTTTCTTTATCGCGTTACATCTGCCGACACTGACAATTATTACATCACCTCCGTTACCGTGGCAACTCGATGAAACACGATGACCCCCCCCCCGGCACACACACACACACACACACACACACACACACACACACACACACACACACATAAAGGTTTCCAGTTAATCGGTGACTCAGAGTAACCGGAGTTCACCAGAGACGTTTATAAAGAAAGAGAACAGTATCAGTTCACTCTATGTGGCCAAACGTTCACGTTCATGAACCAGCAGCTGGATCTGATCCGGGACCTGATCTTGGACCTGATCCTGGATCTGATCTTGGACCTGCTGCAGACTCCTGACCAACAGTGAGGTATCAGGGCTACAACAAATATGGGCTCACTATAATTTCAGTCAAAGTCAAAGTGACGTCTTCAGAGTGTTCATTGATCCAAAACAAAGATATTTACTTATTACTCATATGTGAGAAAGAAAAACATCAAATCCTCTCGTTGGAGAAGCTCGAACTGAGACTAACTTTCCTTTAAATTTTACCAGTGAGTTCAAATCAAAGTAGTTTCCAGTTAAACGTCGATGGATCCACGAATAAACCACAGCTGCTGGCTGAATGCCTCCACACTGAGCTGGGTCTTTATACGTGGACATTGTCCTGGTGGATGGAGGAACGTCTGCAGCTTTAAGACTCACCCTCACTGCAACCAGGAGAAAGTGGACAAAAGTATATGGACAGCAGTGTCCACACATAACGATCATAAACAATAACACTATAATCATTTTAAATGTCATAAATATGATTCTAGCAGCTCTTATTGGATTATTTGTATAAAGCTGTTGGTTCAGAACAGCACTCGCTCACTGAGAATCTCCCGGTAGGTCAAACACCGACTTTAAGGACCGAGCAGCTCTTTGTAGTTTGTGATTGATGATCTGAGTTAAGGGTGAACAATTTCCAGGATATCTGTTCATCTCCAGGGGTTGACTGGAAAATATCCAATAACAGCAATTTCTCTTTTGTTTTGTTTTGAGTCAACCAAACGCTGAGTTATCTGCCTACTGTGTGTAGTTTAAAGTTTTCTAGCACCCTTTAAAATCAAGGCGGCCTTGCGACCCTCCGTGAAGCTTTGGCGACCCCCAATGGTTGGAACCACTGACAGAAGTTATATTGGACCAGGGTTGACCTCCTAAAGTGTGTATACGTCTTAAAATCAGATGTTCACTGAGCTCAGAGAAACTTTCAGCCGCTGAAAACAAACAGATTTCATTCAAACATCTCGCTGCTGGTTAACAAATCAATAATAAAGTCATCAATAAAGTATCTCTGGTTCTCAACGAGAGGTTTCTGACAGCAGGAGGACTTTAAAAACCTGCAGGAACTCTACAAAAACAAACACACATACATGTACGCTCACACACTGTACACACCCCCCTCCGCCTGTCTGCAGCACCGAGCTCTGAACCAATCAGAGTCCTGCAGGGCCGAGTTCACACCCTCCACAATAAGAGTCCTCAGTGAGCAGCTACAAAGCATTAAATCCACCAGAAACTCATGTGAGAGCTTTCCTGTTGAGCTCCAACTGTAAAAACTAGAATCTTTGCTTCACAAACTGAACGTGGATCAGCTCACACAGCAGAGATCAACAACACACAGTGCTGCACACAGCAGGCCAAGTGAGGCAGCACAGAGGTTAAAGGTCGACGGTTAGTTGGAGAGAATCAGCACATTGAGAACCCACAGCTGGTCCCAGCAACAGTCAGAGCAGCAGAAACCAGTTTGTACTGGGAGACGAGAGAGACGCAGCGGTGGTCACATACCTGCAGAGAGCGACAACAACACCTCCAGTTCAGTGTGTCCACTGGTGTTCAATGGGAGCTCAGAGAGTGTGTGTGAGTGTGTGTGTGTGTGTGCTGCTGCAGCCAGTCTGAACTGGGAGGGAGGAGACTCACACAACACACGGAGCGGAGCGGACTGGGAACACTGGAGGGGAGTTCTCTTCTTCTTCATGTGCATCAATACGAAGAGTTCTTTATAACAGTAACTTAAATCAGAATCAGAGATAATAAAACAGAACGTTACAATTATGTATTATATAACAATATTGAACATTATTTATAGAAAATAGACAAATATTCATATAAAGATAGAAAAATAACACAACAGTGAAAGCTATTTCCCATAATGCAACTGAATAATGTCTCATATTAGAGCCACATTTAAAAAAATAATAATTTTAAATTCATCTCTGAACCCCGATGACATCACTGTGACATCATCACCACTTTTCTGAGCCCTATGATGTCATTCAGTGGCTATAACAATAAAATAAGAAATCTATCATTACATTAGAGTATATCACAAATATAACATATGTAGAGTTTATAATAATCACAGAGTAATAAACTGTATGATTCAGATTATTGATGAGTGTCAATGACCTGATCGGAGATCAATAACACTGCACTGTGTATTGATCTCTCTGCAGTGACTCCTGAGCAGCTGATCCGATCCGGGTTTTCCCAGCAGCCCCCGCGGTGGCTCTCCAGCCTCGTAGTAAACAAGAAGACCACGTGGGGAGGAGCTGGAAGCTGATTGGTGGAGCTCAGCCGTGCAGGAACACACCCCACAGAGGTCTGTTGTTTACTGAGTTTCTGCACCCAGACACACTGAGGGAGGACTCCACTGTATCTTACTACTGTATATTACTACTGTATATTACTACTGTATATTACTGTTTATTACTACTGTATATTACTACTGTTTATTACTACTGTATATTACTACTGTATATTATTACTGTATATTACTACTGTATATTACTACTGTATATTACTACTGTTTATTATTACTGTTTATTACTACTGTATATTACTACTGTATATTACTACTGTTTATTACTACTGTTTATTACTACTGTATATTACTACTGTATATTACTACTGTATATTACTACTGTATATTACTACTGTTTATTATTACTGTATATTACTGTATATTATTACTGTATATTACTACTGTATATTATTACTGTTTATTACTGTATATTACTACTGTTTATTACTACTGTATATTACTACTGTATATTATTACTGTATATTACTACTGTTTATTATTACTGTATATTACTACTGTTTATTACTACTGTATATTACTACTGTATATTACTACTGTATATTACTACTGTTTATTATTACTGTATATTACTACTGTTTATTATTACTGTATATTACTGTATATTATTACTGTATATTACTACTGTATATTACTACTGTATATTACTGTATATTACTACTGTTTATTATTACTGTATATTACTACTGTATATTACTGTTTATTACTACTGTATATTACTACTGTTTATTACTACTGTATATTACTACTGTATATTACTACTGTATATTACTACTGTTTATTATTACTGTATATTACTGTATATTATTACTGTATATTACTACTGTATATTACTACTGTTTATTACTACTGTATATTACTACTGTATATTATTACTGTATATTACTACTGTTTATTATTACTGTATATTACTGTATATTACTACTGTATATTACTGTATATTACTACTGTATATTACTACTGTATATTATTACTGTTTATTACTGTATATTACTACTGTTTATTACTACTGTATCTTACTACTGTATATTACTACTGTTTATTACTGTATATTACTACTGTTTATTATTACTGTTTATTACTGTATATTATTACTGTATATTACTACTGTTTATTACTACTGTATATTACTACTGTATATTACTGTTTATTACTGTATATTACTGTATATTACTACTGTATATTACTACTGTATATTACTACTGTATATTACTGTTTATTACTGTATATTACTGTATATTACTGTTCATTACTGTATATTACTGTATATTACTACTGTATATTACTACTGTATATTACTGTTTATTACTACTGTTTATTACTACTGTATATTACTGTATATTACTGTTTATTACTGTATATTACTGTTTATTACTACTGTATATTACTACTGTATATTACTGTTTATTACTGTATATTACTGTATATTACTGTTTATTACTACTGTATATTACTACTGTATATTACTGTATATTACTGTTTATTACTACTGTATATTACTACTCTACTGTATATTATAAAGAGTAATATTATATTACTCTTTATAATACTACAGTACTCTTTATAATAATGTTACTGTGTGTGTCTGTGAAAGCACAGAACTGCAAATCAGTTTGTTGTTACACCGAAATACTACAAATACCATCAGAAGTACTGTAATATTATATTACTGTAGTATTACTGTAATATTATATTACTGTAGTATTATATTACTGTAGTATTACTGTAATATTATATTACTGTAGTATTATATTACTGTAGTATTACTGTAATATTATATTACTGTAATATTATATTATTGTAGTATTATATAAGAGTATTATATTACAGTAGTATTACTGTAATATTATATTACTGTAGTATTATATTACAGTATTATATTACTGTAGTATTACTGTAATATTATATTACTGTAATATTATATTACTGTAGTATTACTGTAATATTATATTACTGTAGTATTATATTACAGTATTATATTACTGTAATATAATATTACTGTAGTATTATATTACAGTATTATATTACTGTAGTATTACTGTAATATTATATTATCAAATCAAATCAAATCAAGTTTATTTGTATAGCCCTTTACAATAGCCGAAAGGTACCCAAAGTGCTTTACAACAAAGCCATGAAACAATACATAACACATATATAATATACAAATACAATTTAAAGTGCTGCAGCACTGCAGGGTATTAAAAGCCTTCCAGAAATGCACAGAAAGGAGCAGATAAAAAGAGTACACCTAAGAGACAGTACTGTCCTAGTCAGAATTAAAAGCTAATCTGAAAAAGTGGGTCTTAAGCTTCGATTTAAAAAGGCCGAGATCAGTAGTGGTGCGAATGTCAGGGGGCAGTTTGTTCCACAGTCTAGGAGCAGCGACGGCAAAAGAACGATCGCCCCACTGTTTAAGTCTGGACCTAGGGACCTCTAACAGAAGCTGACCCAAAGAGCACAGGGCTCTGCCACAATTGCGAAAAGTTAAAATCTCTGACTGTAATATTATATTACTGTAGTATTATATTACAGTATTATATTACTGTAATATAATATTACTGTAGTATTATATTACAGTATTATATTACAGTATTATATTACAGTATTATATTACAGTATTATATTACTGTAGTATTACTGTAATATCATATTACTGTAGTATTACTACAGACTGCTGTACTGTGAGCAGTAACTGATAACAATGAGCAGCTTGTAGGTGGAGATCCTCATTGATTACATAACCTGCTCTCACTGTGTGTGTGTGTGTGTGTGTGTGTGTGTGTGTGTGTGTGTGTGGCTGCACGTAGCAGCGACACACTCGTGAGCTCCGTGCTGCTGTTGAATGTTAATGTGTGTGTGTGTGTGTGTGTGATAGCTAGATCCTCTCTCTGTAGAGACGATTAGACCAAAATAAATTAAAGTCACTAATTTTCTTCATTTAATTAATTTCACAATATATTTAAAAAAATAAAATAAGAAATAAAAATAGAAAAAAGATAATATTTAAAAAAAAAAAAAAAGTTAAATCAACCTCCATAAAGTGTGCTAATAATAATAATGATAATAATAATAATACATTTCATTTATAGAGCGCTTTTCAAGAAACTCAAAGACACTTCACATGAGTTAAAAAAGAAAAGTAAATTATAGCTATATCTACAACAGTACAATGCCTGGTCCTCAGTGGGGGAGACAGGAGGTTGGCATCAGGAGAGCGGAGGTCTAACAGACCAAACGTAACAACTATTACAGGTGAAACAATCTAAAGGAAATAAAATGAAGTCCTTCTGGGCGCTGAGAGGAAGCGGGCAGCGTTTCCGGCTCCTGTGTGTCCCCATACAGTCTGTGGTTGGCTCATCATGCTAATAGCTCGTCCAGCTACGTAGCATTGTGTGTAAAATATACACAACCTACATAAATATTATATCAGCTCAGAGAGACGTTGGGAAGATAAATGATCGTATCCTAGCAGATTAGCTTCAGATGTGACTGCAGATATGTCGCTTTTATTTTAACCATCTTTTCAACCTAGATTAGCTTAGCATATAGCATATCTCTGTTCTTTATTCTCTAAATAACACAGTTCTGATCACAGTCATTAAAAGAAGAGAGGGTTGCGCGGCTGTATGAGCCAACAGGAAATCTGAGCACAGTCACTTCTTCATTTCCTCAACAGCTCAGGAGCTTCTGTCGGTTTAACGAGCTGAAGGAGAATTAAAGTCCGGCTCAGGATGAAGAACTGTAATCAGTGCGGAGGAGTGAAACTGGAAGAATATGGAAATATTAATGAGCTTTCTTGTTGGTGGTGAATGTGTTTGTGAGGCTGTAATCCAGCTGATTGTGTTGTTTAATCCAGATTAGTGAATAATGAATCCAGAGACTGAGCAGCTGTGAGACGATCAACGGCTGTTTGTCCACATGGACGGACGCACTGGCTTCTTACTGGGAACCAGTTCATACTGGTACACTGAGTCAGACTGGAAGTGAGACACAGATGTTTGTCTCTGTTTCTGCTTCATTAACCCTGTGATCACATCACCCACAATGCATTTCAGATCTGTTTGATCAGCTGATGATGACGTTACCTGAGCAGGTTTGACTGTGACTCACTGATTGAGTCCGTCGGATTCTCTCACGCAGCTGGCAGCTGCAGCACTTCAACCCTAGCTAACCTAGCCTGGTGCTAACCTAGCCTGGTGCTAACCTAGCCTCGTGCTAACCTAGCCTGGTGCTAACCTAGCCTCGTGCTAACCTAGCCTCGTGCTAATGTCAGTGTCTACAATCTATGTAGGTCTAAACAGGTTCTGACTCCGGGGCCACTGTCTCTCTCCCTCCAGCTCCACCAACAACTCTCCACTCCATCCCCCGTTCTCCTCCTCCTCCCTCCGGCCTCTCCAGCCTGCTCGGCTACCAAACCGGCCCCATTCACCCCCCCCCCTTCATTACATGATTCAACTGATTATTTCCAATCAATGGGCGTTTCCATGACAGGAAAACTAGTCTCTAAATCTCCAGGTGTTTCCAGGAGTCGTGGGAACTCGGATGCTGTGTGAACAGAAGGTTACACATCATGAAACTGTTTTGTGTATCATTAATCTGGTTGAAAGTCCCGACCAGGTGATTCACCTGTTGCCATGTGAAGGTGTGTCTTCATGGATGGTTTCAGAGAGTCTTTTAATTCCACCTGAGAAAAGATGACAGCAGTCCTAACAGTCGAGTTTCAAATGAACTGAAAGAAAGAGCCCACAGAGGTTGAATATACACAAAGCAGCGGGTCTCTGTGGACTTTAACAGGAATCTTTCATTATCTTTATCTTGGCTTTAAAGCGGCTGTGTCTAACTCAAAGTATAAATCAAGATTTTCTGTGGGTGAATCGGCTCCTGTAAGAAACACCAGAAACATAAACTTTTCCTTTCTGACAGCTGCTGTTACAATCTGCTCGCTCAGCAGAAACAGTGAGCTGCTCGACGTGGTGAACGTGCTGGTTGACACTGGCTAAACTGTGACTCAGTTAATCACTGTAGGATGTTACACACACACACACACACACACACAACCACCATGACACAGCAGCATCATCTGACTCACGCTCAGTTTATAAATGTTGCAACTTTCCTCCAAACTTTCACATCACTCATAAACCTACTGACAGGCTTTAATGTGATATGAAATGTGACACTCTTCTCTTAAAATTCTTACTTTTTAATACAGAAAATATATATACCACAAATAAAGTTTTTTAAAGTCAAAAGAGTAAAAAAAGAGAGTGAATTTGATCAAAGTTCAGTTCATATCAGAGGAATCAGTGTTGGGGGGTTGAACTTTGGTGAACTTGCTGAGTACAGATACAGTTCTGCCCTGTGACACAATAAAGTTCCCCTGTGACATAAATAGCATTTTCCCCATAGGCCGCCATTATAAAGGACGTCTGTAAAACTTTTGACTGGACGCCTCCAACTGCACTCAGTTGTGACTCATTCTATTAAAATAAAATAATAATCAGGCGATGGCATTTGTTATCTAGCTCTTATTATGATGGAGAGCCAGAGAGGCCAAAATGGAGGCAGCTATTGATTTTACTGTGATTTAATTCCAATCAACTGATCAAAATAATGCTGAAATAACAACATCAGGATTATTTTTAAAAAGTCTGAATTCAATCTTTGTCCATCCGTCTGCAAGATGACGAGAAAACAACTTCTAAAAAGTTTGGTTGATCAGATTTATGCTAACTCAGCTGGAATCAAATCATTTTTAAGTCCAACTTTTCGTACTTTTCTCGGAGCGATCTCCTTTTTCGTCACTTTGTGTCTGTTCCTGTCTTTGTATTGACATTGTACCTAATCTACTCGGTGGGAACGCACCATCAGAGTATAGACGGGTTTACACACAGGGTGGAGACTGCTACAACTCATTCTCCTGTTAGCATTGGAGCTACGCTATTCAGGAAGCTAACTGACTGTTAGCAAGCTTGTTAGCTTGGAGAGCTGTTATATTCCTCAACAACCTTTGTTGCAGTACATTTACCTCGGAAGCTGGGAATGACGTCACACCTGAGTTGACGCCGTTCCAGTGCGACGCGTCGGTAGGCTAGCCATTAGCCATTGTTAGCAATAGCAGTTGATAACAATTAATTACGCAGATCTTGGATTTTGAGGTCGCGGTCGGTGATTTTGAGGTTGTTCCTAGTTGGAAATCCGACTTCAGGGGATGTTCCAGTTCAAATGACTTGCATTAGCCAAGGCTAACCTGGCTAGCAATTTAGCGATTAGCTCACCAGCTAGTTCACCAACTCGTCAATTGCGACCAAATATTTGACCAGACGTCTGCAGAAGATGAATCCCGCCACCATCACGACAAACTTGAACACAAAAACATTCTAAAAATCAGAGAATCATCCCTGTATTGATCATCAGTTTCTGTCTCAAAACCTTTATTGAACCAAATATCAGCGGAGGTCACATAAAGCAGCTGAATGCAGTTCAGTACTCTTATATACAAAATATAAAAAGTATAAATCATATGAAATGTAGAAAGTTAATTTGTAGAGAAATGAACTGTGGCTGTTTGGAAGGAAGGAAATCAATCAGAAATGTAATGGCTGATTGGAAACGATCAATATCAATATAAGGTGAGATATAGTTTATGGGACGTCCTCCGTCTTTAATCTCTTGTTCTTTATCGGCAGTCTTTAATTTTTAGCTGCCTTTCTTCATCGTCTCTCGTCTGTCCTTCATCATCATCATCATCATCCCTCCAGCTGTGTCATCCTGTCCGGCAGTGGAGGTGAAGGCTCCTCCTCTTCCTCCTCCTTCACCTGTACCTCCTCAGGTGTCTGAACAGGGGGCGTGGTCAGTCTGTCCTTCTTACTGACTCGTGCATACATTGAATTCCTTTCGCGTTCGCTCAAATCCGCCGCCGCAGAGCGAGCGCTGCGCTCCTCCCCTGGCTCGTCATTGGTCCGCCCTCCTCCGATGTCGTGGTAGATGTGGTCGGAGGCTCGAGGAGTGGAGCCGTTCAGATCTGTGCACAGAGACAGTTTTAGTAACAGAGAGCTGCAGGGATGACGTACTTTTTTCCCCTGGTTGCTTCTACGAACAGCCAATCAGATTGCTGATTATAAAATAAATGATAATCTTCACAAATGAGCTCCACTTTTATGATTTTTGAAGGCGATCTCCAGAAGTAAAGTACATTAGCCTATAAATGAACTACACAGCAGTCACATGACTTCACCACCACTAAACTTTTAACTTGTGATTAAATCTTGAAATTAAAATCTCTTAATCTTCTGTTAACCACAGACTTTATTTCAGGCATCTAACCACAAACTCATTGACGTCAGGAGCAGGAACCGGCGGGGCTAACATGCTTACTCATTTCAGGTTTTTTATTTACCGTTATTTCTTTTTCTTTCTGCCTGTTTTCTTTCTTTCCCTCCTCTGTTTAATCTTGTCTTCTTTTTCCATTCAAATGACGACTCATATCCTTCGCACAAATAAGAGACAGACAGTGGTTGCACGGTGCACAGTACTACCGGTCCTATGTAGTGCTCAACAAGTGGGAGGATCCAATAAAAAGCAGTCAGTCAGTAGAGAGTAGTAGTTAACTGAGTAAAATAATGTTAATAATATGTAGTTAACTGAGTAAAATAATGTTAATAATATGTAGTTAACTGAGTAAAATAATGTTAATAATATGTAGTTAACTGAGTAAAATAATGCTAATCATGTGTTAGCGACCCCCACAGATGATTTTGCTGCTTTAACAGGAACTCAGGCCCCAGTGGCCCCCACACAACTCAAACCCTTTTTATTTTTGTCTTTTTAAATGTTCTTTCTTTCTTTTAAGTCCTCAGTTTCAGAGTTTGTCTTTTGCATGAATATATGTCTAATGTCAAATAACATGAAACATCTGTCAATGTAAATAATCATCAAATTTAATTTTCTGTAATTTACATGGATTTGTTAGTTAATTGAATATTGAACTCAGAAACATTATTCAGTCTCTCCAGGACGTTGTGGCGTTGCGATGACAACGATGAACGCACATTCAACCGATCCCTGTGAATTCTGTATGACCTTGTCACGTCCGATGAATCACTGCAACTTTCCCTCACAAAGCGTTGATTCATACGTCACCAAACTCACTTCCTTGTTTCTAGTTGTGTCGATGCAACGCGAACGTCTCACATTTACCCTCCAACCAGTGCGCAACATGCATCACAATGTTTTAGAAAAGCTGCTGTGAAATCAGACATTTTAGGAAACAACAATCCCTTAAAAAGTCGGTAAAATCAATCATTGACATAGAAATATGTAAAGGGGCATATGAAATGTTTTTTCATTGAACTAAATCTGATCACTGAGTCTGAAATGTGGCCATAACTGATCGGACATTAATTAACGTTTTAAAACATGTTATTCCTAAAATGAATCTAAATGAATGTGTTAAAGCCGCTGCTGTCGGACTGTATCACTTATAGATTCTAATCACACTGATCAATCAGCTCATTAAGTGTTTCATTAGAGGAGCTGAAGCCAGTAGTTTATTTCTGTGTTTGTTATAAAATTAAACTTAAATTCTGATTATTTCCATTATCTGATCAATAATATATATAATAATAATAATAAACAGACGAACACACACCGTGGCTCTGTGGCACCCCCAGGTGGCTCCTCCAGGGAGTGAACGGGACGGGGTTTTCCTTTACAGGATTTGACCCTGCACACACACACACACACACACACACACACACACACACACACACACACACACACACACACACACACACACACAAGAGCAGTGGGAATGGAGCATCATGGGAAATGTAGTAACTCAGTTTCTGGTGTGTTTTGGTGCTATCAGACAGAGAATGAAATATAAAACATAAATCACCTCCAACAGTTTCATATTCACTCTTCGTCTTCACTGCTGCGCTGCCGTTGGTCTGAACATCTGAGGACAAACAAACAAACAAACAAACAAACCCATTTAACCTCAGCAGTTGTGGGAGATAAACTGCTGTTTTCCTCCGTGTTTCTGGTTATTGACAGATTGAATGTAGAAGAAATGATGTGAAACAGACAGATAAAGATAAATATACAAAGAACAACAGTGAAATAGAAGATGAGGACGCATTGTACATTAATGTTGTTTACTGATGTAAATAAACAGAAGAGAAGAGAGGAAACTAATAACCTTGGTGGTTCTGTGGAGCCTCCAAGTGGCTCCTCCAGGGAGTGAAGACGACTGCGTTTCCTTCACACAAACAAACAATAAAGAATAAATAATAATCTTCAGACTTTATCTGACTCCTTTCTTTTGATACTTTGATGTTTTAAAGATTAAAAATAAAATATATATAATTATAGTTGTTATAAATGTATTTTCATTATGTAACAATCTGTATCACAGACATTTAATAAATGATTATTGTGCTTCTTATTACAGAATGTGATATAATGCTGTATTATGTAATAACAAACCATCTGTCTGTTATATTTTTAACAATTAAACTAAATGAAATTTCCTAAATATTTAATTAGACTTATATAAAATGTGAGTAATTACATAATGTGTTGTAAGCTATAAATGAAATAAATGTTTTATAAAAATAACAATAATTATACGTTTTCAGCCTTTTGAGCTTCATATTTTATCCATAACTTTGGTTCTGTTCTTGTCCTCCCTCTGATTGAATCAATAATGACATTCATTTATTATAATCAATGTCTTTTCTTTCTTTCTGTTCACCTTTTTCGTCGTTTTGGATCTCGTTGATTGCCGGGTTCTCTCTCGCTCCCATCACCTCCTCCAGCTTCACCTGTCAGTCGACATTAAAGGTTTTTATTGATTATAATGATCAGAGTCAGAGGACGTCTCAGGGGTCAAAGGTCTCTTACCACCCGGACGAGACTGGAGGGGTTTCTGTCCTCAGGCTCTCGCAACTCAAACGAATGTCTGGAAGACAAACAAACTTTATTTATAAAACCTGAACGACAGAAAGTTTTACATAAATAAATGTGTTCAGTCAAAAGAGGACGATCAAACAGGTTGTTCACATTTTAAACTCAGAGTATCGGATCATAAAATCCCCTTGCCCCGCCTCCCCCGGCCTCCGCTCTGAAACCGCTGCGCTCATTTTCAAATGTGTCCTGATTGAGACGCATCATTCACCAGAGGTTATGCCAGCTGTTGCTAACCCCCGTCCTCAGTATGTTTATATTCCCGCGCAGTGGTTCAGACTTTAGAGGCTGTAGAAGCGTTAACCTCTCCGAGCTGTGATTTTTGGAAACAGTGACCTGTCAGGAGTTGGTTCACAAGCAGTCGGTGGCGCCCAAACGTCCGGTCAGAAAACCAGAAGAAGAAAACGTGAGGACGGAAGGATGAAATCTGACATTTCTGTTGTTTTTATGAATGAATGTTCCATCAGATCTGTGTGCAGCGATGAGGAGGCTGTAACCTTCCTCACATTAATACCTGAAACTAACAGAAACATCAGATTTCCATCATGTTTTCCATCAGTTGACCTTTGACCTCATCTGGCTGTTTACCTCCTTAGACCAATATCGACTCATAAAGAAGAATATAACCAGCTGACCTCCTGCAGTCGGCGCACAGAGCTGTGAGGAAGATGGAGAGGAGGAGGAGGAGGATGAAGAAACTGAAGACTCCTGACGACACTACCCACGACCCGGTGACCTCTGCCCCGACTGCCGCCATGATCTCTGAGAGAGAGACAGACAGAGAGACAGAGAGAGAGACACAGACAGAGAGACAGACAGAGAGAGAGAGAGACAGACATAGAGACAGACAGACAGACAGAGAGAGAGAGAGAGAGAGAGAGAGAGAGAGAGAGACGGACAGAGAGAGAGACAGAGAGAGAGAGAGACAGACAGACAGAGAGAGAACAGGAAGTGAGTCATGTAAAGTTTGAGCTTTATGTGACCTCTGCCTGAGTGTGTAGGCGGAATGTGAGACATTTACTGATGGCGTTGTCGACTCGACCGTGAACAAACAGCTCACCTGAGACCTGGACACACACTGCAGGGAATTATGGGAAAAGTTCATTTTTCAGGTAATTTATTAATCAGAGTTTTTATATTCTAGACAAAGTGTGTGTGTGTGTGTGTGTGTGTGTGTGTGTGTGTGTGTGTGTGTGTGTGTGTGTGTGTGCGTGGTGTGTGTGTGTGTGTGTGTGTGTGTGTGTGTGTGTGTGTGTGTGTGTGTGAGTGCGTGAGTGTGTGTGTGTGTGTGTGTGTGAGTGTGTGTGTGTGTGTGTGTGTGTGTGTGTGTGAGATATTTCTTTGTTTAGTTTGCAGACATGTTGAATAATTTAAAAATGAAAATGTGCTGCAGGTTGTTTGGTTTCAGTTTTAGTCAACACACAGACCGCAGGATATTTAAACAGTTGAGTTACTGAAGACTTATTGATAGAAAAACAGCGACACTGACAGTTTGTAAAACTACATTTACATTTTAGAGCTTTAGATGGAGAGACAAAGAAAGTGTCTAATGTTACATCTGATCATAAACAGGAAGGATATCTTTATCCTGTGGGTCTGGCGTTGCGGTGAAGGTCTGGTGTTGTGGTGTGGGTCTGGCGTGGGTGGGTGGGGTGGTGTTGCGGTGAAGGTCTGGTGTTGTGGTGTGGGTCTGGCGTTGCGGTGTGGGTCTGGTGTGGTGTTGCGGTGAAGGTCTGGTGTTGCGGTGTGGGTCTGGCGTTGCGGTGTGGGTCTGGTGTGGTGGTGTGGGTCTGGTGTGGTGTTGTGGGTCTGGTGTTGCGGTGTGGTGTTGCGGTGTAGGTCTGGCGTTGTGGTGTGGTGTTGCGGTGTGGGTCTGGTGTTACGGGGTGGGTCTGGTGTTGCGGTTTGGGTCTGGTGTTGTGGTGTGGTGTTGCGGTGTGGGTCTGGTGTTGTGGTGTGGGTCTGGTGTTGCGGTGTGGGTCTGGTGTTGCGGTTTGGGTCTGGTGTTGTGGTGTGGTGTTGCGGTGTGGGTCTGGTGTTGTGGTGTGGGTCTGGTGTTGCGGTTTGGGTCTGGTGTTGTGGTGTGGGTCTGGTGTGGTGTTGTGGGTCTGGTGTTGTGGGTCTGGTGTTGTGGGTCTGGTGTGGTGGTGTGGGTCTGGCGTTGTGGTGTGGTGTTGCGGTGTGGGTCTGTTGTGTGGTGTGGTGTTGCGGTGTGGGTCTGGTGTTGTGGTGTGGTGTTGCGGTGTGGGTCTGGTGTTGCGGTGTGGGTCTGGCGTTGCGGTGTGGGTCTGGTGTTGTGGTGTGGTGTTGCGGTGTGGGTCTGGTGTTGCGGTGTGGGTCTGGTGTTGCGGTGTGGGTCTGGTGTTGTGGTGTGGTGTTGCGGTGTGGGTCTGGTGTTGCGGTGTGGGTCTGGTGTTGCGGTGTGGGTCTGGCGTTGCGGTGTGGGTCTGGTGTTGCGGTGTGGGTCTGGTGTTGTGGTGTGGTGTTGCAGTGTGGTGTTGCGGTGTGGGTCTGGTGTTGTGGTGTGGTGTTGCAGTGTGGGGTGTTGCGGTGTGGGTCTGGTGTGTGTGCGGTGTGGTGTTGCGGGTGTGGGTCTGGTGTTGCGGTGTGGGTCTGGTGTTGCGGTGTGGGTCTGGCGTTGCGGTCTGGTGTCGGTTGCTTCGTGGTGTTGGCTGATGGCTGATTTGTAAATGGCGAGCTACAGTAACGATATTCTAAATACGATTGTCAGTTATTTTACAGCGTTCAGTGTTTGTCACTGTTGGCTGATACCCAGGGTGCAGTTCACTGAACGGCCACTGGTGGCGCTGTTAGCTGCAGGTTAATGAACGTCACAACGTCTTTTGAGCTCCTCAGAAGCCAAAAAAACCCATAAAACAACAACAACGTGCGCGAAGGCTTTTTGGGTCTCGAGAAATACACAAACCACTCACTAGTTTTGTGATGTCACTTCCTGTTGAGGTCCAGCTCAGCGAGGATGAAGCAGCAGCAGTTTGATCATCCTGACGGACTCCTGTCGAACAGACAATGGAAATTATATTTACTTATTAAAGTTTTATTTTAATGTTAGTTTAACAAACAGCAGCTGGTTAGCTTAGCTTAGCATAAAGACTGGCTAGCCTGCCAGCAGCTCTAAAGCTCCCTGATTAATTATGTCCCAAAGTATTTCTCTGATCATTGGTCGAGGGCTTTTGTTACCTTTTACCAAACCAGCTGTTTCCCCTGTTCTGATCTTTATGCTAAGCTAAGCTAAGCTAAGCTAACCAGCTTCTCAATGTAGCTTCATATTTACGATACAAAAGTGGAATGAAACGACTAAAGAGAATCTAAAGAGCAACGTTTTGTTCCAATAAATTCCATCGATTACGTTGTAAACGTTTAAAAATAAACATTTATAAACCATAATCAATAAATATATCAACATGTTCGTTACACAAATCCTGATTTTCATGTCAACATGCTTCTTAATATTTGAGAGAAAGAAACATAATGTGCTGATGAAGACCATGAGATGCAGCTGAAAGCTCCGACAGAGCTACAGGTGGACGTTACGATTAGCATTCTGTTGCTAACATGCTAACCATATGCTGTGAGTGTCTGCCATCACACACAGGAAATACTACAAATACAAATATAAACAAGCTTGTTACTTTAGTTTGAATGCATTTGTAGGGAATCATTAATTATTGATTATTGATTATTATTATTTTAGCATCACTGCACACTTTCCCAGTGAAAATCACACAGACAGACGTAAACAGACCAGAGAGGAAGTTAACTCTGCACACAAACAGCCAGTACAGAGAACTTTAGACTTTTCCTTTAAGAAAGTATCTTATATTGTTCTTCAGTAAACAATGTGTCCTTGTGCAACCTCTGTACGCTGTTATATTACCTTAAAGTATAACCTCACACACACATATTAAGATCATACATATTCAGTACATATAACAGTTTTATACAGATATCGTTAATATTATAGACCCTTTCTGTACTTTATGTTATTCTTTGTCTTATATAAATTGATATTATGTAACATAAATAACGAGTCTCTACTTTTATTACTCTTCTATAATTGTATTACTTAAACACAATAAATAACTGCAGCCAGCAGTTTCAGTTTGTATCTAACAGAATAAAATATCCCCGTTGTTGTTGGTTATGAACTATAAATGAACCAATAATGAAGCAGTAAGAGCAGAAAGGAGAAAGGAGCCTACCTGCGTCCGTGGTGTCGCTCTGAGTTCAGATACTGTAAAGTTCTTCCTGCTGGAAGTTTACTGATTGACACTGAACAAACACTGAGACACTGTGCTGTTAGAGCGGCTTAAAGACACACACACACACACACACACACACACACACACACACACACACACACACACACACACACACACACACACACACTGTTCACACACTGTACACACACACACACACACACACACACACACACAACACACACACTGTTCACACACACTGTATATATACACACACACACACACACACACTGTTCACACGCACACACTGTTCACACACACTGTTAACACTACACACACACACACACTGTATACACACACACACACACACACACACACACTGTATTTTATGTTGAATTTACATGTTTTATCTTTAACTGTAAATAATAAAGAAAAAGAGATTAAAATTAGTTTACAAATCCATAATTGTTTCACAGACATTTACCGTTTATTTTACAGATTAAACAGTTAAATTCAAGTTTAATACTGTAAAAAGTATAAGTTGTGTAACTTTAATGTATTAGTGAGTTAACTGACAGATATGTTGTATAATGATGGAAATGTTGTGTATCAGTGTATAAGCATTGGTAAACTGTCCAAATACAGTTGTTATCAGTGTAAACAGCAATAATTACTGTAATCTCACAGATAATGACTTTTATTACACTTCTATAACTTTTAACATTCACATTAAAATAATAACAATCCAATAATAACAGCACTCTGCTGTAAATGTAAGTCTGATTATTGTATTATAGCAGAGTTCACCTGGATTTATAGATCATTGGTTGACACTGTAAATATCTTTAATTAAACATTAAAAATATAGTTTATAGATAATTATATCTGTTTAATTGTATTAGTTATTGTTTTCATGTTATCTCTACCAGCTCCAGCTCTGGTTGCATTGATCTCTGTTGTTTTATTGCTCAGATTCTTCGGTCATTAAAGAACTTTGAGCTGCACTAAGTTTGATAAAGCTGCCCCCCCCTTTCCTCTAGCGCCCCCCTCAGGACAAACAGTTTACACTCTGATACTGTATTGTGGCTGTAACCTAATCAATATGGCGGCTGTCTGTTGTATGACACAATAATATCGGACACGTTTCTCCTTGTTTTTTGACTCTTTCTCTAGAAATGAAGGTGCAGAATGTGGCAGCGGTTTACGGCCCTGCATTGAGCCCACTCTGCCAGGACTAATAATAAAACACACAAAGGGAGTGTGTTTTGTTTTTATGGCCGTTCCTTCGACCACAGGCAGCTGCAACCGATAAGCTCATTAAAGCCCAGATCAAACTGAAACTGGAACATTATCAGCGGCTCCACCCAAACACTGCAACCGACACTTAATGCTTGACTGGCAGAGCGAGGCCTGCAGAGAGCTGGGAGAGAGAGATAACAACTACAACAACAACTACTAGAACAACAACTACAACGCAGTTTAAATAAGTTTAATTCAGTTTTATGTGCAGATGTTGTGTTTGTACTCGCAGCTGTTAAAGATAGAACCTGTAGCATTCCCTCATTAAACAAAAATACACACATTATCTGTAGAATCATTATAGTTTGTTCAAACATCAGCTTCATTTTAATGTCTGTGTGTCTGTCTGTGTGTCTGTCTGTCTGTCTGTTGCAGAAACCAGTAAATCCAGTGGATCAGAGCAGGAACACAATGATGATGATGATGATGATGATGATGATGATGAGGAGGAGGAGGAGAAGGAGCCGAAAGTTACAGACACATTAATGAAAAGTTAAGTTTGTCTACAGAAATGTCTCCCTTCTTCTTCTTCTTCTTCGTTTCTTCTTCTTCTATGTTTGCTCTTTGAGCAGCTGAGCTCGAGCCCGCCTCCTCATGGCGAGCGCCGTCATCGTGCAGCAGAGCGTCAGGCAGGGGAAGGAGGCGCAGGCCAGCAGGAGGCGCTCCTCTCCGAACTCCCTGACCAGCGCCGGCCGCCTCCACAGGAAGTCCTGGAACAGCGCCTCCTGCTGGGCGAGCGTGCAGAAGGACAGCAGGACGTGGAAGAGCTGGTGGGCGTGGCCAAAGAGGTCGAAGCTGCCCGGGGAGAAGCGCTCAGGTATGGGACAGGAGAAGAAGAAAGCTGACAGCAGAAACAGCACCACCTGGTGGAGAGGTGATGGAAGAGCTATTATTGAGTAAAGTAAGAGACACAGCTAATGATTGATGTATTAATTAGTTAGTGATGGGACTATAAATATATCTTTTAGCCATCTTCAAAATGTGGTTGTCTTTTCAACATTGATTAGCTTAGCACAAGTAGTGATTGATTATTTCTTGAATATTGATCAGAGATTAGTTTTCTTATATATTCTCTGTCTGTATTATGTATTTTTTATGTTAATAAAATCGATGAGACCTGCAGGAAGTGCAGCGGCAGTGCGGAGTTGCTGGTCCAGCTGCAGGTGGACAGACGGTGGGCGATGGGGCTGATGTCCAGCAGGTAGGCCACGCCCATCGGCACCACCTGGCAGAGCTTCCTGTGCAGCGGGTACGGCCGCCGGAAACAAAGCTTGGCGTAACAGCAGGCGGCGCAGGAGAACCAGGCAAGGAGGGCGGCGGCCGGGAGGAAGATCTGCCAGAAACAACATCATCAGCGTATCTGAACGCATCGTTCGCTCAGGACAGACGTAACACGCAACAACAGACCTGTCCCAGCATGCTTTGTGTCCAGGCGGCGTCGGAGCTGTACAGGCACAGAGCCAGAGCGCAGCCGTACTGGTAGACGGCCACGCCCACGTAGTCCAGGAAGAACAGCGAGTAATGCGCCTCCTCCGAGTGGGACTGCAGCAGGTGGGCCGCAGCACTGCAACATGCAGCTGAGGTCAGTTAGTTAACTGCATCAATCAATATCTGATCAATAATAATAATATATATATTATATACACAGTATATAATACACTGGGTGCTGTCAGAGGCTGATCTGATGGCTCACCTGCAGCTCAGGTATGTGACAGCAGAGACAACGTAGAGGACCAGAGGCAGCGAGGAGACGTCCACAGAAAACCCCTGACCCTCAGGACCCTGCAGCCGAACACCCAGAATGCCCTGTGGAGGTCAAAGGTCAGACAACGGCAGGTCAGACACAAAGCTTTCAGACACCAGGCGATGAAATGGGACTGTCAGAGTCCAGTACCCCTCCCTGCAGGACAGTGAACGCCAGGAACCTCGTCACCACGCAGACGGCGGCCAGCAGGTGGCTCCATACGTTCAGGGTCTCGTTGTGGATCTGGAAGAGGCTGAGGACGTACGAGCGCCACGAGAGGCCCACGGGCCGGTACCCAGACAGGATGAACCGCTCCCGAAACAACGGGGGGACGTCCACGTCTCGGACGGTGGGGGGGAGGGAGGGGAGGACGCGGGCCAGCAGAGGGAGGAAGGTGAGGCACAGCGAGGGAGTGGCAAACGACACCCGAGGCATGATGGGAGAAGATCCTGAGTTGGGCTCGTCGTTCTGTACAGAGCTGGAACCATTAAAAGAATTCTTACAATCAGGTGGTCAGACAGGTAGGTTGTGTTAGACAGGTTGGCAGGGGGTTAGACAGGTGATGGGGAGGTTGTCTTCCTCTCCTTAGCAACAGCAGCTGAGGCTCATGGGTATTGTAGTATTTAGAAACTGATTCGTTCAGAAAGTTAAAAGAATTAAAATTTCAGGTCAGATACTGAGCTCACAGTCTGATTACATCATCACAGGGGACTCCTGCGTTTCTATGGCGACCATTAAAATAACAATCAGTGTTTCTCAGTAATTAAAATGATGCATCGGCCAGTTTTCCCGCTCTTTCCACAAATGTACGGAAGCTCTAAACGGTCGTGAATTCAGACATATTGCAAATAATGCACAATGGACTTACCAAAATAAAAGCACCATTTACACAATCTGGAGACACTGTGAGCAGCAAAGCTTCAGTCAACACATTCAGGACTCTACGTATAGATCCATCCAGGGGTCCACGTACCGATCACCTCAAACTGATCGGTAAATCGTTACTCCACTGTTATATTCCATGTCTGACAGCAGAGGGTCCTCAGTGTCTGACGAGCACTGAATGAGCCAACCGCCTGCAAACTGCTAATTACATTTATTAATCAGAGCATTCAATAATCACTCACTAATCAGCAGGGAGAGGCTCTCGGGAACAGACAGACAGACAGACAGACAGACAGAAAACAGTCTGTTGTTTTCTCAAGATAACGTGATAAATTAACTCGTTATCTGGAGATAACAAAGTAACGAACTCGTGATCTCGAGAGAACGCAAAAATGTCTGAATCAGGGAGCGGTTAGAGCCTCCGTACAAACGGCCCTTTGAGAGGTTTAGAAATAATCTCCTGAAGGAAAACACAAAGAAAAGAAAGAAAAACTGTAAAATCCCAACAGACAGTAAGAGGGTCAAAGGTCACAGTGGCCAAACAAACCTACCTGAGTTGTGTGGACGTCACTGCAGACACACTGCAGACAGACTGCAGGACACACTGCTGACAGACTGCAGGACACACTGCAGACAGACTGCAGGACACACTGCTGGCAGACTGCAGGACACACTGCTGGCAGACGCTGACCTGTTCACTGTTCGGTGCCGCAGACCGGACACACACACACACACACACACACACACACACACTCCACAATGTGTTCTTGTTTTCAGTTAATTCGTGCTGATTTCAGTCTCAATGGGGATTTCAGACATCATGAGACTCTGCTGACACACACACACACACACACACACACACACACACACACACACACACACACACCTCGCTGCTGTTTCATTCATTCTACTAATCAATTTCATTTGTATAGCGCCAATTCATAACAGAAGTTATCTCAGGACACTTTTCAAATAGAGCAGGTCTAGACCGAACTCTTTAACATTAATTACAGAGACCCAACAGTACCACCATGAGCAAGACCTTGGAGACAACTCTTGAATGTGGTGAGGGTGTCTGCCTCCCGAACCACAACTGGAAGCTGGTTCCACAGGAGAGGAGCTTGGTAACTGAAGGCTCTGGCTCCTGTTCTACTTTTTAGAGACTATAGGAACCACAAGTAGCCCAGCATTCAGAGAACGTAGTGTTCTAGAGGGGTAATAGGGTACTATGAGCTCTTTAAGATATGAAGGGGCCTGACCATGAAGAGCTTTATAGGTGAGGAGGAGGATTTTAAATTCTATTCTACATTTTACAGGGAGCCAGTGCAGAGAAGCTAGTACAGGAGAGATGTGATCTCTTTTTCTAGTTCCTGTCAGTACTCGTGCTGCAGCGTTCTGAATTAATTGGAGTGTTTTAATGGACTTATTGTGGCAACCTGATAATAAAGAGTTGCAGTAATCCAGCCTTGAAGTAACAAATGCATGGATTAGTTTTTCTGCATCTGTCTGTGATAGTATGTGTCTAATTTTTGTAATATTACGTAAATGAAAGAAGGCAGTCCTAGAGGTCTGCTTTATGTGGGAGTTAAATGACAAATCCTGATCAAAGATAACTCCAAGATTCCTGACAGTGGTGCTAGAGGCCAAGTTAATGCCATCTAGAGTAACTATATCTTTAGACAGTGAGTCTCTAAGGTTTTTGGGGCCAAGAACAAGAATTTAGTTCTTTTCTGAGTTTAACATCAGAAAATTGCAGGTCATCCAGGAATTTATGTCCGTAAGACATGTTTGTAATTTAGATAATTGATTAATGTCATCGGGCTTGATTGATAGATATAACTGCGTATCATCTGCATAACAATGAAAGTTAATGGAGTGATTCCTAATAATGTTGCCTAAAAGGAGCATATATGAAGTAAATAGTATTGGTCCAAGTAAAGAACCTTGTGGAACTCCATGACTAACTGTAGTATTTATGGTAGATTCATCGTTAACATGTCCACACTGCGAACGATCTAATAAATATGACTTAAACCAGCTTAGTGCGGTTCCTTTAATGCCAATTTGATGCTCAAGTCTCTGTAAAAGAATATTATGGTCAATGGTGTCAAATGCAGCACTAAGATCTAATAATACAAGTACAGAGACAAGTCCATTGTCAGAAGCAGTCAGAAGGTCATTATTAACTTTAACCAGAGCTGTCTCTGTGCTATGATGAACTCTAAATCCTGACTGAAAATCCTCAAATAAACTATTGTTATGTAGAAAGTCACACAACTCTTTGGCGACTACTTTCTCCAGAATCTTAGAGAGGAAGGGGAGGTTAGAGATCGGTCTATAGTTGGTTAAAACCCCTGGGTCAAGAGTGGACTTTTTAAGAAGGGGTTTAATTACAGCTACTTTAAAGGACTGTGGTACATATCCTGATAATAAAGAAAGATTAATCCTATCCAGTAAAGAAGTGCCAATTAAGGGAACAACTTCTTTAAGCAGCCTAGTTGGGATCAGGTCTAATAGACAGGTTGATGGCTTTGATGAAGAAATGATTGAAGTTAACTGATGAAGATCGATAGCAGAAAAACAGTCTAAATATATATCTAAGTTTACATTGGTAGAAGTCCCTGAACTTGGAGAGCTACTGATAACTGTTGATGGCAGTTGGTGATTAATTTTCTCTCTAATAGGAATAATTTTATTATTGAAGAAGCTCATGAAGTCATTGCTACTTAAGTTTATGGGGATATGTGGCTCAATAGAGCTGTGACTCTCTGTCAGCCTGGCTACAGTGCTGAAGAGGAACCTAGGGTTATTCTTATTTTCTTCTATTAGTGCTGAGTAATAGGCTCCTCTGGCATTACGGAGGGCCTTTCTATAAGTTTTAAGATTATCTTGCCAAATTGAGCGATATTCTGATAATCTGGAAGAGCGCCATTTCCTTTCAGATTTCCTAGCTATTTGTTTTAACTGGCGGGTTTGGTGGTTATACCAAGGTGCTAGTCTCCTATGTTTTAATAATTTCCTTTTTATAGGAGCGATAGAGTCTAATGTTGATCGTAGTGAGCCTGTAGCACTATCGACAAGATTATCAATTTCAGAGGGACTAAAGTCGTTATAGGACTCTGTTAAATTCAGACATGGCATTGAATTAAACACTGAAGGAATCTCCTCCTAAATTTAGCTACAGCACTGTCAGATAGACATCTGCTGTAGGAAGTTTTGCCTAATGGCTTATAATCTAATAGTATGAAATCAAAAGTTATTAAATAATGGTCAGATAGGAAAGGATTATGTGGGAAGACTATTAAATGTTCAATATCAATGCCATATGATAGAACAAGGTCAAGAGTATGATTAAAACAATGAGTTGGTTTACTTACACTCTGACAGAACACTCTCATCTTTAGTATGGTTTGCCATGATACTAAAATAGTTCCAATTGTATAAAATTCCTTACCCTAACCCAGAGAAATGTGCTCAGTGTATTTAAAAAGTAAAGTAAAGCAGAAAATGTGTTTAGAGTTTTGGAGACTTGAGAAGAGGTTTTGCTCTCTGTGTGTCACTTTAAATTATTGTGCTGTGTCATTTTTCTGTGTTAGCAACTGGACAAAACTGTAAAGATCCTCAGACATTTAAGGATTGTAAAAATAGTCTGCTTGGAAAAAGTATAATTTATAATAATAATACATATATATAATAATAGCATAAGTATAATTACCACTTTAAAATCCTTAAAGCTTTAAATTATTTTAACATTCAGGAGATGTCCTAAAATGGCCACCGTACAGAGGACAGACAAAGTCCACCAGTTTAAACAGTCTATTTTAATACCTTCTATTAATACAAATAATGTCTCTTTACTTTAAGTTTTAATTTAAACACAAATAGTCCATACAGCACACAGATTACAGATTACAGATTACAGACTGAATTCCAGATTTTAGTTCTGGTTCTGGTGGTTCTGGTTCTGGAGGTTCAGGTCAATGCGGCTCAGACTCGGGTTTTGGCCCAGACACAGGTACAGCCGACAGCCACCGAGACGTACGACGCGGTGTAGCAGCGCCCCCGTTCCTGCCGGTTCAGGACCAGGACGTTCTGGTAGATGGGGACCGAGTTCAGGTTGTGTCCGTCTGTCTGTCCGGGGTTGGGACTGGAACAGAAGCTGCTGCTGCACTCTGCCTCCCAGAGGGTGGACGGGATCCGGTCCTTCACCGTGGTCGACCTGAACAGACGACAGCAGCAGAGTCAAAAATAAGACGATAAAAGTGAGAGGAACATGGCCGCCGTCCCCACTGTTGGTAAATAACTGGTGAGATTAAAAAAAAAAAAAAGATTATAAAGAAATAAAAAAGTTAATTTGTTGATTTTATTTATTTAAGTGTTCATATTGTTTCATTTTTTGAATATCTGAGATTTGTCAATAGTGGTTTTGGTCTAAGATGCTAGTGCGATATCTAGAGGCAGTGAATTTCTTATTTAATTTATATATATCACATTTAAAGGTCCATTCATTCATTCATTCATTCATTCACTCATTCATTCACTCACTCATTCACTCACTCACTCACTCACTCACTCACTCCTCCTGGACTTCCTGTCTCTGAGTTGTCAGACTGACCTCCAGCTCCACGCTGACAGAGATCTGCTGTGGATGTTCCCGTTTCCTTCAGACGACGAGGAGAGGTCCGAGGTGAACGCCAGCAGGGAGTCACAAACAGGAGGCGGTTTAACCTTGGAGGAGGAGACGACCCACAATGCACTGCAAAATACCTGAGGAGAGGGGATATTAAACTTTAACTTTTATTCTACTTTATACAGAGGTAAATATTGTACTTTGTTGTTACTACTGCAGATTTAAACCAGTTTGAACCAGTGTCCAGGCGTTTTCCATGCTCATTAATACATTTTGTTTAAAATTAGCGATGAGTGTGAGAGCTTTGTCAAGTTTTCAGGTTTACTCTCATTTTCTTTTAGGTTTGGTGGATTTTCTCCTCTTATAAAGGGCTCGTCCTTTAACAGACGACAACTGGAAACAGAGGTTAAAACGAGAGAAAACTGAATCTCAGACACAGAGCCAGTTTGTTTCTCTGTGTGAGCGAGCAGAACTTAATCCTCTCCGATAAGTATTTGCAATTTATGCTGCGAGGCCTTTTCAGTCAGCATTGCGTATACCCACTTCTAAACCCCCCCCGATGCGCACCATTCAGTAGTATCTGCGAGCCAAATTACCCATTTTTTCCCTAGGATGGTGAAGCCATGACCCACGCTACTCTGCCTCTAATTGGCTAGTACTCGCTGCCTTTACTGATTAGATTGGTGAACTTTAGGCATGACGACAAATGAGCCAATTGGAGGCAGAGAAGGGCGGGTCATGCCGAGGTAAATATTGCTAAAGACAAATTTACTTTTCCAAGTTTACTTTAAATGATTTGCCTTTAGGATTTGTAATGAACCGGTAAGATGAAGCGAGCTATCCAAACAAACATTTCATTTGACAATTTCAAACGTCCTCGCGAATCAACATCAGCCAGCAGCTCAGCTAATGTTAGTGATGCTACACCGGCACAGTTAAGACCAACGTCGGCGCCCGCTCTGCCCCCCACCCCCGTCGGAGAGGATGCTGTCAGTGAAGGAGATGCTACCTCTCCGCCCACAGCCAAAGATGCGGGTACAACTTCGGATGAAGACATTTTTTTAATCTAAGGTGAAATATGAACGAGGATGCATTGTCAAATTCAGATCTGAAGTATTTTATTTAAATAAATGTTCAAAAAATAACTGAAACACCATGTTTGCCTCATCTATATTTTACATTCATGCAGGCTGCCTGTGTGACCAGTAATACCTATATATCTAATATAAATATAATATATAATATAATATCTATCTATCTATCTATACCTACAAACTGCTCCTGATCAAGTCATGTTAATTTTATAATAGTGGCACACTCTGGCCCACGCTATCTGTTGCAAATCAGCTGTTCAAAGACAGTTTACAAAAGAAACTACTGAATAGGTGTCCTTCCAGGAATAAGGAATAGTTCACTCAAAATGCATAGTTGTCTCTCACTAGTCTGTGGGCCAGTATTGGTTTAGTAATTTCATAATCCTTCCTCCCTGAGATCAAGCAGCAGAAATTATGTGACAATGAGCAAATACTACTGACAGATTTTTGGGTAAACTAAATAGAGTAGTCTTACATGTCCCTGTTTCTAAAACGTTTTTCTGGGCTGCGTTAAAAAAGGGCAAAAATTGAGAGTATAGCCACTTCTCCAGGGACCACTACACCACTGGGTGTGGTGTATAACTTCTTATGAACGGTGGAGCTCAGAGCGGTGATTCAGAGTCGGGCCAAGTCATCAAGCAAATGTATTAAGTAATTACAACTTCACTTTTGTTTTGAACCAATTAACTGAGAAATCGAGTTTAAATTACACACAATATTAGGTTGACGTGATCACCAACATTATTATATCAACACAACCCTTAAAAATAATAATAATAGGTAGTTATAGGTCCACTGTATAACTCCATAACTTTATTTATTTATTTAAATTGACTTTGTGTCCCATTAAATATCTCTCTTACCGTCTTTAAATGTATACTCTATATGTAGATATAAACATGGATAATGTAGTGATCAGTTATTTCTTCAGTCGATATTGAAACGTAGCCTAATAATCAGACTGAATTCATATTCCGTTGCTGTTAATATATATTTTCTGATTTTATTCAGCCGCCAGCGGCTCGCATTTGTTAATAAAGTTGATGCTCACCAGCAGAGCGCAGATGCTGTGTCTCAGATTCATGGTGTCTTCGCGCCAGGACCAGTCCAGCTTCTGTGACTGCAACTGCTCTGAGATCAGGTGTATTTATGTTGATCTGTGACAGACCTCAGATCTGATAAGAGCAGATCTCTGAGTTGATAACGGGACCGTGACACGAGATGGGAGATTCCTGTTATCTCTGAAGCCCATCGACAGTTTGTCAATGACACGATTTCTTCACTGATAACCATCTCTGACTGGCAGATAATAAAAACAGTACGACACCCACTTTATTTTCAATTTAAAGTGAATTTTGAGAAAATGTTTCTGTGAGATCTGAATAATTCACTGTGTGTGACAATAATGAAGCTTTAATGAAGACCTCTAGGGAAGGAGGTATGGCAATGTGCAAGTGTCTGTTTATTACCAAAGCTGAGAGGTGAAATAGGTCAAATATATACATATACAAATATTTCTATTCTGCTCATTAGCTCGTTACATCACTATTCTTTGTCTTCTAGTTGATTCAGTAGCTCACAATAGATACAGATTAAAGATTAGGCTTTTACTTTGTGAGGGACCAAAATATATTTTATTTGAAAGCAACTTTCCAAACACCCACGCTGAATAAATACAGTCAGGTTTCACAGCTCTCGTGGTCATATATGGGATTCCACCTTCAGGTAGTCTTTCTAAGAGCTGCATCTTGCTTTCTTTGTGGTACTTTCCATCACATTCTGCCTGAATCTGCAAGAGCTCGTGACTTTGAGTTGTTGCACTTAGCGTAGCAAAGAGGGTGACAGATTAACCTGCACCCGACCTACAAGTGTGCAGTTTGACTGACATTAAACAGCCTTCAGTGCTTTCTTTACAGGTGTTGGATAAAAATATTTTAGAAAAGCATCTCTCCTGCAGTAATTTGTCTTTTGAAAAGGGACAAAAATGCTGTGCAATCCCAGATAAAATGGGTACATGTGAATATAAAAATATAAATTTCTTGTTAACTGGGGCAGAGAAATATGTATCTCCTACAAACAGTCAGACTACCGCTCTCACTTGATTCGACAGTGACTGTGAAGCTGGAGATAATCCTGGAGACATGCAGTGCTAGCAGAGGTAGACATACGTATACTGGAGCTAAACTGCAGAAGGATGGAAATAAAAATCCATCCAAAATCCATCAGTCCGCTCAAATGCTCGGTTCTACAGCCATGCTAGCAGCTCTGTGCCCTGCTTTAAGCTAAATGCTAACATCAGCATGCTAACATGCTTACAGTGACAATAACATGTTTATGTTTAACAAGTATATTTTTTACCATGTTTACCATCTTAGTTTAGTATATTATCATGCTAACCGTGGACCACTAAACACAAGGTACAGCCCAGGCTGATGGGAGTCATTATTTCTAAAAAAAATTAAGATAGACCAAAGTATTGGACACTGATGAAAAGGTATTATAATTAATCTAGAGGGGAACATGAATATATGACTGGGCGACCCTACTACGGCTGAGAGAGTGCAGTCCTTTTGGACATTTATACCTGAGCACGCTTAACCCCTACCCTGAGCTAATACGCCACGGCGACTCGACCCTAGGCCGACACCCGGACAACAACAGGCCCAGGCGGAGACGGGGAGGGGCCGAACGACCCGGCGCTTGGTTAGCAGTGGAAGGTTAGCCCTCCCGGTCATACTGTTTGCTAACATCCAGTCTCTGTTAAATAAGATGGATGAGCTCCATGCTCGGATCTCCACGCAGAGGGACTTACAAGACTGCTCCATGCTGTGCTTCTGTGGAACATGGCTGGGGGAAAGGACGCCTGACGAGGTGATAACACCAGACGGCTACACGGCCTTCTGGGAGGACCAATATCATCCAACTGCAGCCACAAATGGGCGTTCTCGTGCTGGTGGGGGTTCCCGTTCTCGCTGACTGAAACGCCCCCTTCTTCTTCGCCTTTCTTGCTGAACTGTAACTGTTAACATCCGGTTTAATATAACATTCGCTAGTTAGTATTTCTCAACAGAAGTTTCAAAATAAGATAGTAGTCTGTAAATGTATTATAGAACTAACGTTAGCAAGCTAAGCCATCTACAGACGTTAGTCTAATTACATCTTAAAATGCTTACATTTACGTGTAGGACTAGTCTATATTTCTACGAGTTGTTGAGGACAATTCATACTTTGCAACTACTAGCTGGCGGGCAAGAACATTGTTCTCCAGCAACGAAACCCAGTAAACTAATCAAGGATCTTGCCAGGATGTCGGTGTTTCCCCTGGCATTCATTCAGCGAAGGCTTAGAAACAGCGCTGCATTTGCTTTCACCCAAGTAAATTAAAACTAACAACAATTGCATTGCTTAATTCAATGTTCTGGTGTTGTAATTATCTATGAGGTTTTGCAACATGGCCCACCCATCAAAATAAATGCTTTTATTCTGTTGTACATCGTAACGTCGTACTACGTACTGAACGGAAAAACCAAGGCAATAATTTCCTCATGTGATTTGACATATAACACGCTGTAATTCAAGTCCTGGAATGGAATTTGTCAAACTAAATAAACGTCCATATCCAAAATCAAGATCACTGTGATTGTTTTCAAGACAAGAGAAGTAATAATGGACTCCTGCAGCCCCCCTGCAGCTCCTCATCATCAAGGGGACTGAGGTGGAGAGGGCTGACAGTTACAGATTCCTGGGACTACAAGTGACATCAGATCTGAACTGGACTTCGAACACTGCTGCCACAGTGAAAAAAGCCCAGCAGAGACTGTATTTCATCAGGCTGCTCAGAAAAGCTGGTCTGCACTGTCGCCCTCTCACCCAGGTCTACAAAGGACTGATAGAGAGCGTCCTCACCACAGGCACTTCACTGTCTGGTACGGAAACACCACATAGACAGAGAGGAAGGCTCTGCAAAGAGTCATAAAGACTGCAGAGAGGATTATCATAACGGAACTCCCTTCCATGGACACAATCTACACACAGCGCCGTCAAAAAAGAGCAGAGAGAATCATCAGAGACACACTACATCCAGCTCACTCCCTGCTCAAACACAATAACTGCACATACAACCCAGGCACAGACGAGCGGACAGCATCACCACAAACAGAACGCGCTTTTTTAAGAGCTTCTTCCCTGCCACAGTAAGACTCTTGGCCAAAACAAAATGAACTGATGTCCTAACCTATCTCATAGCATATCATATTATATTATATTATATTGTCTCCTAGGCCTGTTCAATATACCTGTGCAGTTTACAATGCAATTTTACACTTCTATATAGGGTTTTGTGCAATTTACAATGCTATCACTTTCCCTTTATATAGGGTTTTATGCACTTTCTTTTTATTTCTAGAGAAGTATATGTTTTATAGATTTATGTGTCTTTCTTGTGTGTCTTTTTAACTTGACTTGACTCTCTGAACACACCGCACAAGAGTTCCTATGTGTGCAAGCACAAATGGTAAATGAAGTTCTTGAATCTTGAATCTTGAATCTTGAATATCATAGAACTACGCTGCTTACAACAAAATGCACACAGTGGAGCGCTTCAGCAGTTATTTCCGCAGTTTAAGAGCTATTACAGTAATGCACAGTCACGCATGGCAGCAAATCCAGACTCTGTGAACAGTGAAGACCTTTTTATGCTGATTAATAGAACCTTTTAGTGTATTCTTGACGCAATGGGAAGCAAAGGAAGAAATGCTTAAGTTGGTGTAATGAGTTCCAGTTGAAAGCTGGAACTATGAGATTTTGGAGCAACTGAACATTATTTAGTGCTTTTTTAATGTAGAGAGTTAAAAATAAAGAGGGGATAAAATTAAGCCATGAAGAACTTTGTTAGTACGTAAAACTTTTGGTTTTATTCTTAACTTGCCAATACTGAAAAACCTTCCTGTATTTGGTTTAAATAAATTACTCTCAAATTTCAAAATATATCAGTCTTGTCCCTGTTATGTTAAAACATATAACAACATATCCAACAGTTATCTCAAAGCAGTCATTAA